TGCTAGCAGTTTTCACCACCACTACTTTTACACCATTGGTTTGATTTCACAGACCTCTTTGAAAGGGTCTCAGAGACTCTCTAGGGTCAGAAGACCACACTTTCAAAACCTCTGATCTGTGCTAATTGTTGTAAAGGGAAGTGTACATAACCAATACCCACAAAATAATCTTATCAATACATAAATAACCAAGAATAATTCATTCATATATCTATATATGACAGAAGCACGTGGAAGAGGCAACTAACTCAGAAAGGAGGTGTGGCAATCAAAGATTTATTAGAGAAAGTGCCCCGAGGATAAGCCCTATAAAATGAACAAGAGGGTAAGACTTCTTGGTAAAGGCGTGGAGGTACCTGGGAAAGACATCCCAAACAGAGAAGACACACTGTCAAACACCATGACTGAATAGAGTATCCGTGCATTAGTCAGGACAGGCTAGACTGCACCGTGCTAGCACACACCTAAATCTCCACAGTTTAACACATCAAAATTGACTTCTCCCTCATAGACTATTTCCAGTAGGATGACTCTCCAAGGCAGCTGGATCAGCAACCCGGGCTGCTTTTGCCTTGTGGCTGTGCCATGTGAACATGTGGCCTCCATACTCCATGGCAGAGAAGGAGAGAGCTGCTAGTAGCTCCACTAACAGAACTGAACAGATATCCACTAATGCTCCTGGACCAGTAACCATAACCCCTCAAACGGCCCCTTCTAACTTAAAGGGGCTGAAAAATGTGAGCGAACACTTGGACATTTTGAGACCCATATATTTCTCTGGCCTAGCCTATTTCTTTAAAACAGACCCCTGGCACTAATTTCTACTCCTACCAAGAACAGAGAGCTTCTAAAAGTAAGAGTTAAGGGCTCTGTTAATCAACCAGAATGATGACTAATAGGAAGATTCAAGCTGTAGCTTCTGATCAAAAATGAGTAGAAGCAGAGGTGGAGACCTCAAAGAAGGGAAAGAGAAGCAGGTACTATACAGAGAGAAGACTAGAATTACACAAATTTATTTTATTTTATTTTTAGGATGGAAGTAATTAGGTTTTTATTTATTTTTAATGGGGGTTGAACCCAGGACCCTGTGCGTGTTAGACACATGGTATACCAATGAGCTATATCCTCCCCCCAGAATCAAATAAATTTATATCATAATGTTAAGAGAAAAAAGTTATACAAAACTACTATGTAGTTTGTCTCTACTGTATAAAATATGCACAAAAAAGACTAAAAGGAAATACAGGACGATTTCAACAGTTAATTCTGGTGATTTTTATATTTTCCATAATGAGCATGGTTACTTTATAACCAAAGGAAAAACTTAAGCTTTGTTAAAAATGCCAACCTAAA